AAGAAAGAAAGAAAGAAAGAAAGAAAGAAAGAAAGAAAGAAAGAAAGAAAGAAAGAAAGAAAGAAAGAGAAAGAAAAGAAAGAAGGGAGGGAGGGAGGGAGGGAGGGAAGGAAGAAAGCAAACAAGCTGGCGGGAGGAAGGAAGGACAGGAGGTAGAAAGAAAGGCAACCAATTGTATAGATGTTACCCCACTGAGAAGATAGAATAATGTGGGGAAAAAATAATACTTGATTATACATATCTATTTCATGCCAGATCTATATCTCATATTACTGAAGTTTTTCCCCAATTAGCCAGGGTATTGTTTTTTTTATTTTTCTTTCTTTTTTATACAGTTATGGTTGCTTAAACAGTAAAATTTTTTCTTCTAATTGATTACAGGAAGGGCTCCTAAATATCTGCTTTCACCAGCTTCCAGTCCCCAAGGCTTTACCATTCTATAACCTACAGAAAATGAAGTGAATCTGTATTTGGAACTTAGAGCTCATTGACTAAGGAAGAAATATTCATTTCAACTAAGGCACCTGGAATTTCTGCAGAGCATTTTTCCAGATAGATTCTTATGTCTCAACATAGCCTTATTAATGCATATAATCCCTGCATTTTGTCAAAAAAAATCACCAATCTATGGAAATCCTATTGAAATATTCATAATCATTTCTAGAGCAATCAGGGATATTTAAGAATTTACTTTAGAAATACTCTCCAATTCTCTAGTGAAGTTAATATACTTTACTAAATACTTCTAAAACATTTTGTTGTGATAGGATATCATTTAATACTTTGAAAATAATGTGTTTTGTGTACTGTTATTTAAGAAATAAACACATTTATGCAAAGTAGAAGCAAAGACTATAACAAAGTACTATTTAAAATTGTGAAAGTCACTATTACTTGAAGTAATCATTTTCTAATGGTCTATCAGCTGATTTCTCAGGTAGTTGGATTAAGGATAGAAATCTTTTCTCTTAATCACAACAAATAATCATAGGGCTCTACATTCTGGCTTCTCATAGAAAAGTAAAATATACTCTACTCCCAAATTTAGAAAATAGATTTTAAATTTAGATATAGAATAATCTCCACCCTTTTGCTGACCTTTCCCCTTATGTTTAGACGTTACTGTTTTTCTGCCATTTTCAGAAATAGAACTGAGCAAGTAATACATTTGTTTCTTAAGATATTTTCCCATTTTGCTCATTTATTAATTAACAAAATTAATGATGTGTTCCCTTTCAATTAATTTTAGAAATTAACTAACTGACTTCATGAAATATCCAGGAAAATTGTTAGCTTAAGAAATGTTTTCTCGGGCACCTGGGTGGCTCAGTTGGTTAAGCAACTGCCTTCGGCTCAGGTCATGATCCTGGAGTCCCGGGATCGAGTCCCGCATCGGGCTCCCTGCTCAGCGGGGAGTCTGCTTCTCCCGCTGACCCTCTTCCCTCTCGTGCTCTCTATCTCTCATTCTCTCTCTCTCTCAAATAAATAAATAAAATCTTTAAAAAAATGTTTTCTCTACAAAAAAAAAATTTTGTGATAAACCAGTCTTTTAATTGGTGATACTTTCATGATTTATGAAAATTGCAATTACCAGTGTGGGTCTTTAGTCTAAATGCAGTTTTAAGTTCAAGATAGAGTCATTAGAAGATAAACTGTGATAAAAATAGACAACAAAAATAACACTATGTGCATCTTGAGTAACGTGTTCATTAATAATTCCTAAAGATAGGTTTATGAAAGCTGAATAGGATGAAAATCTAGGTTTCTTAGTATCCTAGTATCCTTACTTATTAGCCTACTGAGATATAGGAAAGTTTTCTGATGGAGGAAAATGTTTGAAGTAGAGAACACTAAACATTTAAGCAAACATGTACACATGTCTATCAAATTTGAAATGATTCTTTAAATTAGTACCTTACCTTTGCAGAAGGTGCAAAGGGCCACAACCAAATACAAAAAGATCAGCTTCATGGTGGTGATTTGGGACCTAGAAATGGGGACCAGTCATCCTGGGGAACCAGATCTGTGAGGGACCCTTTCACAAGAGTTTTTATACCCACTCTTACCACTGTTTCTCATCATGGTCTAGGTGTGGTAATGATAGAGCAAAGATAAATATCATGGCATGCCAAAGATGAAATCCACTTCAAGTCAGTTTAGGGTCTTATTTGTGCCATCGTCTATCTTGGATCAAGTCCAGCTCACACCAAACCCAGACCATACCCTCTCGCCGCCCTGTGCAAACAGGAAAGGCAGGAACTAAAAGCCCCAGGATTAAAAACCAAATATGCCAATAATATACATTTGTCTGTACCCTATTAATCATTGCAGAGGTTTTAATACCTCAAGAAACTCAAACAGTGTGATTAAATATTGTAATATTGTCTCGCCCTTAACAACAAAATGTACTTTAAACATTAATCTACCTTGAAACAAAGAACTCTTTACTTATCAATATATTAATGGGTATTTCTTTACAAAAGCAAATAATTATCACATAGACATAGGCGTAAGTATAGCTGTAGATATACTAGGACATACAATGCCCCGTGGTCACTGTAATAGCTCTGTTACTCACAAGCACACATGACATTCCAATGATATACATGTTTACCATGAACTTTATAATCAGATATGTAACTAGAAGACATGAAAATGAGAACATCAGAAAAGGAATGCTTTAGAACAAAAATAAAATTAAATAGAAAATACCACCCATCGGGCTCCTGGGTGGCTCAGTTGGTTAAGCAACTGCCTTCGGCTCAGGCCATGACCCCAGGGTCCTGGGATCGAGTCCCACATCGGGCTCCCCCTGCTCTGTGGGGAGCCTGCTTCTCCCTCTCCCTCTGCCTGCCACTCCCCCTGCTTGTGCTCTATCTCTGTCAAATGAATAAATAAAATCTTTAAAAAAAAATACCACCCATGAATTATACATGTAAGACATTCTGGGGTAGGGAGAGGAAGTTCAAGGCATGGTCTAAGAGGAGAAGGTCTGGTGTGTGCTGAGCAGGGTAGACATGATTGGCTATGAAAGGTGGACCTGAAAACTAGAAGGGTCAACTCCACAGTTTGATGATGCAATTGCTTCTCATCTGCTCCCAATCACCATCAAGGAAAGGCTTCAGTGCACTTGTGGTGAACAAAGCATAATATATAAACTTGTCAAATCACTAAGTTGTACACCTGAAACTAATGTAACATTGCATGCCAACTATACTCAAATAAAACTAACAAGAGAAGAAAAGGTGTCAGGAGCCAAAGGGAAAACAGTCCTCAGTCTATCTCTAGAAAAGCAGAAAAATCCCATGAAAAAGGGAAAACTATGGGTAAGCATCCCTTTCCTTCCCTTTTATCCACTCATTCTCAACTAATCTGTAGGAAATAAATGATACCAGCCTTGTCAGAGGGCCTGACCAATACATGGTGAATGCTTTCACTCATGAGCTTCCTGTCCCCATGAAATCTCCTTAGTCTCTTTGTTCATTCCTTAAATCATCTTGAAGGAGGACAGAATTTATCAGGTTTAAATATTTTAAATGCTTTTTCCTGTTTAAGGTAATGCATTCACTGAAGGCCATGCATTTTTTTATCTGACATCAGTGAAAGTGTTTTCCTGGTGGGGCAGGGATTTGGAGAGTGGGCAAACAATAGATACAGGAGTGCTGGGGAGAGAGCTCACTCCAAGAAGAGAGAAGGAGGTAAAAGAGATTGGAGGGGGGTAAGATTGACTTCACTAACTTTGTAGTTTTTCCAAAACCCAGCTCTGATTGTTTCAGTACTTTGCAAATAAAGACTGTGTATTGAGGATTTTTCTCCAACACAGAAAAAAAGTGTAGTTAAGGGGGAATATTGCCCTTTGAGACATATGACTCATATGAACATGGCCATTTACAATGTTCTTTTGTTTTTTTAATCGTGCATGACTTTATTGTGAACAAGATTTGGTCTTGAAGAGCCCATTTTTCAGATTATAATTATGACATGATTATTCTGCTATGTGTCAAGAGTGGACCTAGATATGTAGACTAGAAAGAAACAAAGTTACCTTGAGGCTTTGGGGGAACTAAGAACACATGCAAGATGGGAAATTTTCCATAAGTAGGAATCAGGTGAAATGCTATGGAAGCTTGAAGGAAGGTGGCACTCTTTTAGCTTGTGAGAATCAGGGAAAATTTCATGAAGAGGGTAGTGTAAGGGCTGAACCTGAGAAAAGAAAGTTAAAGTTGATAAAACCTGGACATGCAGAATCAGGGAAGGATTCCAAATGGAAAATGCATTATGAAAAAGCCAAATGCAATTTCAAGCATCTAATGTCTTTCCACCCACTTCTCTTTCTAGATCACTTGTTCCAGTAGTATGATTCCAAGAATCTACTATATCCACTGGGACCTACAATCCATGGATCTGCTACATTTCATTCACCCTCACTCCCCTCGACAATTCAGCTACTCTCTTACTTGGTTTAAATTGTATGGTTAATTATTATCATTATTCCTTTGCATGAACCCTTAATTCCTTTTCTCTATTAAATCTATGACCCCTGTTGGGCCCTGAAGACAGGCAATTATATTTCCTAATCTATTGCTTTCACACTCTTCATGTTTTCTTTTCTCTTCTCCAATACCCAATGCTTCTTTCCATCTTCCCTCTCAGTCAATGACTTTACTTTCAATTTTATTGAGAAAATATAAGCTATCAAAAGAGAAACTCTATAAGCTCCCATCCACAAATATATCCATCTACTGGTATCTGTACCCTTTTGCTCTTCCTGCCTTCTTATTAATACACAAGAACTCTCTGTGCTACCATCTAAGGTCAATGTTTCCATTTGTATACTGGATTCCGTCCAAGAACATTAATGTCAGTAATTTGTTCACCTGTGTCCATATCACCAAGGTTTCTTTCCTCTTTTGGATTAATCCCAACAGTATAAATACATGCTGTTGTTTGTTCTTCCTAAGAAAAATAAATGTTAACAAAAAAAGTAACTTTATGATTCTGAATTGTATGTCAATAAAGCTGTTACTAAAAAAAAAAAAGAGGGGAAAAAGGAAGGGGAGTAAATTGGAGGGGGAGACGAACCATGAGAGATGATGGACTCTGAAAAACAAACTGAGGGTTCTAGAGGGGAGGGGGGTGGGGGGATGGGTTAGCCTGGTGATGGGTATTAAAGAGGGCACGTTCTGCGTGGAGCACCGGGTGTTATGCACAAACAATGAATCATGGAACATTACATCAAAAATTAATGATGTAATGTATGGTGATTAACATAACAATAAAAAAATTTAAAGAGAAAAAAAGAAAATCTTTTCCAATCATGGGAAGTTGGGAACAACTGTGTACAGTTTGAAAAAAACAAAAAGATGTTGAACTCACTTCCTTCCTACTCTCTTCCCATTTCTCTGCTCCCCTAATGGCTAAACTTCCCAAGAATTCCTTGTGTTCACTGACTCAAGTCCTGACTTCTCATTATCTCATGAACTTACTCAAGCCCCAGTAAGTTCTCTCCAACACCACACAAAATCAAGAACACAGGTGATCTTATGTGAATCCAATGGTCAGTTGTCAGTCCTCATTTTACTGACCTCTCAACAACATTTGACACATAGTTGATCAATTCTTCCTTCTTAGTACACTTTGACTTCTGCAGTTTCCAGGTTTTTCCTGTTTCATGTGCTGCTCCCTCTTATTCTCCTCTGCTGAATCCTCAATCTCCAGCACCTCTTAACATGAGGGCCTGGACACTCAATTTTGGATCTCTTCTTTTTCTCTAGACACTTCACTCCCTTGGTGATTGTACCCAAGTTCTATGGATTTACATACCATTCAGATACTCATGACTTCCAGGTTTATATATCCAGCCCTGGACTATTCCCCTGCCTCCAAGCTTATTTTCCACATCTTCACCTGTATGTCTAATAGGCAACTAAACTCAATGTGCCCAAAATGAAACTCAAAACCCACTCCTTCCACAAATGTGCTCTTCCCAGTATTTTTTTTTTGTATCAGTTAATGGCAAATCTGTCCGGGTTACCTCACCCCCAAAATTTATAGCCATTCTTGAATTTTCCTTTCTTTCAACATCCCTCTTCCATGCACATTCTCCATCAGAAGATCCTGTTGATTCTCAATTTTAAAATAAATCCAGAGTGAAACCTCTTTTCATCACCTCCTCTCCCATCACCCTGGCTCCCCTCATTCAGGACATAATTACCTCTGACCTCGACTACCACAGTGGACTTCTAGCTAGTCTCCCTTTTTATAATCTCAGAACATCAGCCAGAATGGTCCTGTGCAAACTGACACTTAACATGCATTTTTCTACTCCAAACACTGCAGGACCCCCACCCCCTCATTTCACCAAATAAAACCATATCTTTGAGGAAAGCAAGATGGCAGAGGAGTAGGAGACCTAAATTTTGTCTAGTCCCAGGAATTCAGCTAGATGGGTAGTGAACCATTCTGAACACCTACAAACTCAACAGGAGATTGAAGAAAAGAATAGCAACAACTCTCTGAACAGAAAAGTGACCACTTTCTGGAAGGTAGGATGTGCAGAGAAGTGAATCCGAGGCGATATTCGGGAGGATAGACGGCGGGGGAGGGGGCCTCCGTCGGCCGCTTCTGGCAAGTGGTAGAGCCACGGAGCACAAAATCGGAACTTTTAGAAGTCGGCTCCGCTGAGGGACGTCGCTGCAGTGGCTAAGTGGGAGGTGGGAACGTTTGCTGGGACAGTGTGGTCTCAGGACCCTCAGGGTCACAGAGAGACCGGGGGTGCCTGAGTGCAGCAGAGCTCCCAGGTATTGGAGCAGGGAAGCCGGCTGCAGAGACGGAGCCAAGGCGCGGGCTCTCAGCTCAGGGTTGCCATAAACCGTGATCGGTGACAGCCGGGCCACTGCTCCTCCAGCAGGGACCCAACAAGCGGCAGATCTGGGAAGACTCCCCTTTCCCCCCGCCCCCAGGAGCGGCAC